CGCCAAGTAAACAGTATGATGCTGGAACTCATATTCAATACTATGACAGAGGACGGAGGACTAGGTACCTTCCACAAGGTCTCTCTGTCACTTCGAACGAGTTGCAAAAACGAAGCCAAAACAAAACAATACTTTAAGAAGTGGGTTGACCTCGTTGTCGCAACTTGGTTTTGTGTTCAGAGAGACTATGTAGAACGCACCGAGTCCGAAGTCGTCTGCCATAGTAGCTGTCTGGATTCCCAGCATCTGAAGGTGGACTTGATACATTCTCAAACGTTTCGTCGGCATCGTAGTCGGCATCATCAGTGAGCCTTGCCATTCTCCGCACCAAGATACGAACTCGTCAAAGAGAAAAGTGAAGCCAATCCCTCGACAAACGTTCTGCTGAAAAACGGTTACACTATCACTTCTCTTTCTGTCCTGGCCTATCTATCTTCTCCTTACCCTAGAGACAGAGGCCACAACATCTTGGTCTTCATATCTACAATAATTTAAGGTTTGGCTCTCGGATTGTGGTATGGAATGTCCCTTAGTGGTTCCCAATCTTTGTATAACTTCGGTAATCCGTAGGCCTTCGGCGTGTCGCGTATGGCTCCATTCATTTTCATAGTTAGGTCCTTCTTTGGTATACGATAAGTGGTCCTGTCTTGAAGTATACATTTCATCTCCTCGGTGTATTGTTTTCTGTCTGTTATCACTGCCGCCCCTCCTTTATCCGCCTGAATGGCTAATTGTTCATTCATTTGTAGAGTCCTGTGTATTACTGACTATTGGCTCCTGATGTCTTGATATTATTGGGATTAGTTGCATCTACATTTCTAATTTTGTCTCTTCAGGGAAAGGCCAAATTAACGAATGGACGAAAAACTCCATCATAAGAAAGGAGTTGGATGCCCGGCCACCAACAGCCTGTAGATTACCATAGCTACGCAAAGAAATGGAACCTCTAAAGCTGTTTGTCAATAGCACGCATAGAGCAACTCACAAATTGGCGAAGTTCATGTGTGAATCTCAAGAAGACAAACGACAGATTCATATAAACATTCTCAAAGGATCAAAACATGGCATTGGAATACACATAATTATTGATAAGCCTTGATATATATAAACATATTTGAAGAAAAGACCTTAACCGCCCTGCTAGAGATCTCGGAACGAGCAGAGGATATCCTGAAAGCGGAAAGGATCAGGAGGGAGTAGTTAATACGACCAATCAACTTGACAATAAGGACTATCTACTTCACATGCAATAGCAACAACTATGAACAAATATATTGATTCCATATGGGATTTCCATTCTCAACAGTTTTAGCGAACGTAAACATTAATTAATTAGAAGAGAATTTTACCACTTCTCCGCTACAATTAAGAGTGCCCATGGATGCTTACTTAATACTTGAGTTGCATAAAAGAGAAAAATGGGAAGATTTCCTGAAGTTTATAAAACCAGTTTGGTGAGAAAGTCAAATTCATAATAGCAGTAGAGGAGGATATACAATTACCTTTTCTGGTTGTTGAAACCGTTCGTCATAATCAAAGACTTACAATGAAGGAAATCGTTTAGAAAGAAGTTGTATGTCGGAATAATACTCAATTCCCAGTCCCATCACATCTAAAAGCAAAAGATAGAAATGATGAGATACATGATCATCCGAAGCCTATTATTAGTGGACTTGGAATTCTGGGATTTAGAACGGGACAACTTGACTCGGATGCGCCTCGGCAACGCATACCTGAGAGACGTAAGAAAAAGGGACATATGGGCCATTAAAAGCCGATGGCAGGACGGTGATTATAAAAGTAAAGTAAGAATGGAGTAAGTCTAACAAAAATGGATATGCCTACCCTCCTGCGGACTAACCTTAAAAACAACTGTCAATATTAAGAAAATGGAATATTCTGGTGACCTCGAAGAAAAATACTACACTCTTCACAAGTTTACTCACGCAACATGAGCTAGTTAGCAAAATGGAGGGCTTATGAATTTACTGCATAGTATGTGGCGTCTGCAAAAATAAATAGAATGACGAAAGAGAAAAAAAATCAGCTTATGAATCAAGGAACATCAAAGTTTCTGTAGGAAAATGGATACCTAAAGATCGGAAAAAGCAAAACACATCGTACAGACTGGACACAAGCTTAATTGGAAAGCAAATTTGCCTAGTCCTCGAGCAGACTCGGGGAAAAAGAGGATACGACAAGACGGGTAAAAAGCAGACGCGTGTATCAGAGGAAAATGAATCACAAGGAAGAAGTGGTTAAGGAACTTTCGGAAATCAAGTGAAGACGTTTTCAGTAGGTGTAGTCTGTTTGAAGGAACAACCACAACTTTGGAGGCCCGGCGGTCACAGGACCAGAAAGACGGTTTATCATAACCGTTACAGAAATTCGGCTAGAAATCCACTCGAACGACCAGACGACCTCAATTCGCTCAGAGAAAACAGGTTTAAGCCGTGGAGACAATGCCCGATATCTACAGGCATGGGAATCAGAGCCTAGGTGCTCTTCTCGGTGAGGTGAAAACGTACGTGTCTCTAAGTTTTTGAGAAATAGCTCCTGGAGTAAATCGTAAACTGAGGCTGGCATCGAGTAAAATCAGTCAACCAGAAAGATAGCAATTGGAGTTACCGACCCATGAAGGAGATTCGGATTGGAGGCCCGAGTAGGATCAGCAAATCAAGAGGGAGGGGCAAGCAAGACAAATGGCAGGTGTGATGTCGTCACAATAAACTCGGCAAAAAAAGGGTACACCTCTTGATGAGTGGAACATAAACAAGTCAGAAGTTGTGATGGGATGGGAGTGGGAATGGGAATGGGGTAAGAAAGTATGGAGTAGATACATGGGCCAAGACAGAATGAAGAGTGGTAGCACAACCGTTTCGATAGAAAGCTGGTCAAGAGATTTACTCCATTTGTCTCTTTGACGAGTTGTAGTTTGGTGCTGAGACTGGCAGGACTCGCTGACGATGCCTGAGAATGCGCCGAGTCCAAGGTCCATTCACAACTAACATAGCAGAGTACCTCGGACAAAGTGTGTTAAGCCAAGTCGCCTTGATAACACGACCAAATTGGAAAACGAGGCTTAATCACTTCTAAAATAAAATAGGATTAAGGTAAATTGAAACAAATAAATTTAATTTTAAAATCTTTCCTTTTTAGTTGAATAGAAAATGTCACTTACAAGTCTAGAATGGAGAAGCTTAGAGGTACCTGAAATTGGATTTATTATTCATCTGAGATGTAAGTCAATGGCAATTGCATTGTTTAAATAAAAGGGATTTGAACTAATAAAATGATTAGATTTGGTCATAGAACTGGCGCGGCACGTTGAGGTTGACACGTTATTGGTGAAAAGTGATTTAAGTGTGAATGTGATGTAATAAAGTAGGAATATCCGGTTAAAAAAGAATCCAGTCTTTTTGATAGGATAAGACAGATCACGAGACCGAGGTAGACGGCTAGAAAGGTATTCAGAAAAATGCACTAACAAAATGCTTTTCTATGACAAGCAGCTGGGTAGCTCTTCAGTCCCTGGATGATGGAAGACTTAGATATGCATACCTTTTCCGTGATGGTTAAGAAGAACTAGTTTGGCGTTGTTGCGAGGACAGATTAAAATAGATATAGTGGTCAAAGTAACCAAGATGAATTTAATATAAGTTCATGACAAAGTGACGACCTAAGCTAATCTTGACTCCGTATTTGTTCAGCGATACATTCATTCGCCAAATAACGAAGTCAAGGGAGACATGTCCAGTCTTGAAAGCCACCTTCACCATACAATTCAAAGGTGAGGCATCCTGAGTTCGAGTTCCATTACACAAGCTGTCAAGTACCAAGAGGTTCTTGAAATGCGGTATCCCCGTCAGAGATAGCAATTTCTGGATTACATTTGCATTGAACTCAAAGGTAGAATGAAGACGCATCTTCGAATCATTATTAGAGAATAGCAACCTTATTTTTTAATAATATAACTCAATTAGGAGGGTGACTTCTTGAATATATTGTAACGTTTTGCTTTCCCAGACAATTTCAAAGTGCAAGCTCTGAATGATATCCTGATACATCTTCCGATATTCCAGATTGAGTCTCAAAGAAACAGTTGTGGATGGATGAGAACAACTTTGGGAAAAGCAAGGATATGTGAAATTCAATGAAAACATCAGCTCAACTCATATCATTGTGGGAAAATTCTACTACCAGTCCTTCATCACCTTACACGAAATATGTAAAAGTCAGCTAAACTCATATCATTGTGGGAAAATTCTACTACCAGTCCTTCATCACCTTACACGAAATAATTCAATGGTAACGTCAGCTCAACTCATATCATTGTGGGAAAATTCTACTACCAGTCCTTCATCACCTTACACGAAATAGCGTCAGCTAAACTCATATCATTGTGGGAAAATTCTACTACCAGTCCTTCATCACCTTACACGAAATAGGGGATCAGCTCAACTCATATCATTGTGGGAAAATTCTACTACCAGTCCTTCATCACCTTACACGAAATAGGGGGAATACATCTCATTACAGTTGTGAGTTAAGTTTGGACAAATAGTATCTGTTGCTAGATGATACTTGCTTGGGACAGATCCCAATTAATCAACTTCAAAAACTAACTCCTGAGGGTATGCTCAATCATTTACCTTGATTGATGGAAACGCCTGGATTATTTGTTCTTCTCGCGGATGTTACAAGAAGATGGCCTATGCCATATTTTCTTCAAATATAGACTTTTTTT